CTGTTAAATGGTCATTTAGGCAAACCCTTAACAAGGAAGACCCTTTGAAGAACATGATGCTGAGTGCAACTAAATATCACCCTGTTTAAACAGAAGGCAAGCATTCAACAGGTAGTGTATTTCGTTGTAGACAACAAACGAGTACATAGCACAATTCATTTAACATATTTAAAATGCACAAGAGAATAGGTCAGTAGAGGATTCTGTGTCAGTACTGAGCATGTCCTATGAAACACATGGCGGAATGGATGGTAATGAGAGGGCTTTGACTCTCTGTGTCATTTCTAAGGGTGGGGGCTCTCAGAGGATTTAACAACTGGGAGAGATAAATCCGCACTAAGTCACCTGTGGGAGAGGGATAGAGGGAGGAAGCTTCCTCCCTGCCACAGATCAGTGGAGGGAGTGCACATTGACTCTGTTCTTAATGGGAGAGGAGTGGGTCTCCACTTCCCAGGCTTCAATCTTCTACACAAAGACTGAGAGAAAGAAGCCTTTCAATGATTTTGTATGTAGCTGCTACTCTGTCAGATTCTTTGTTTTGTCATTTTGTCATTTTACCAGAAGCACCTGCAAAACAAGTGCACTTTAGAGGTTTACAGTTACAAACTGTAGCTGTTTGCTGAGAGTATCAGCCTCCTACCCTGTCCATCAATAGAAATGGGGTCACCAAAGGACCACTGCTGACCAGCTATTGTTTAGGGTGAACATTTTTAACACAGCAGTAATACCAATGTGGGAGTGGTATGCTTGTGTGTTTTGTACTGGAACAAGTTATGGAACAAGTTCAGTCTTAGAAGTTAGTTGCATTTTTTTCCCGCTTCTCAGTACCGGCTTCTTCACATCCTTTCAGACTCGTAATGAGTTGATTTGTACTTGACTGTTTTGACTGTAAATTAAATAAATGAGGGCTGGTTGCAGATTTTTGCACAGTACTTCACATGCAGACACAACACACACACACACACACACACACACTCACACACACATTAAGTCAGTACTTTATTATGTCCACCTGCACTGTATCTACACTTCTGTTCCTACCATTTAGAAGTAATGCCCATTACATAGGTGTATTATAATGTAGATAAACAATAAGTAACTGTAGCTCATCTGTTGCTGCACAGTTTGTCAGCAATCCTCTGCCCCATCCATCAATGAAAAGAGACCACCATGGACCACCGCTGGCCAGACATTATTTGAGTGGTGGACCATTCTCAGCAAAGAAGTGACATAGACATGGTGGTGGTATGTTAATGTATGTTGCTCTGGTTTGACTGTATCAGGCACAATTGAACTTCCAGGATTTGTAATTACTACACTTAAAAAGATGATTCTTCAAGGGTTCTTTAGTAAAGAGAATGGTTCAACATAGAACCATGGACACCCTAAGAACCATTTGCATGCTTAAATGGTTCTTTGCATAGTGAAATTCTTCCTGAGATTGACAGAGAATGTGTTGTATTTGTTTGAAAATGGTTCTATACAGCACCAACAAGGGTTCTTCTATTGTAATAAGCTTGACATCATAACAATAGCAGAACCCTTTTTGGTGCTATATAGCACCATTTTCCATAAGGTCTCTATTCTGTTCTAAAAAGAACCACTAAGCCATCTTTTTTAAGAGTATGCTTACTTATTGCCAACTTTATTAAACACCTACTTTGTGCATCTAGTAGACTGTAGCCCACCTGCTGCTATGCACAATGTGTATCAGTCACCATCTAATCCTTCATCATTGGTTAGTTTCTGACCACAGAACCACTCCTGGTTGGACCTTATTAGGTAGTGGACCTCTCTACACCTAGCAGTGACACTGATATGTGAAAAACCCCAGCAACACCACTGTGCCTAACACAGTCATATCAGTGGCAAAACCACTATTATGTTGGTGTCACTGCTGTTTTGAGAATGGCCCACCAGCTTAATAATTTCTGGTCAACAGTAGTCCTGTGGTCAGAAACTGATGTATGATGAATGAGGGCTGCTGACACATCAATAGATGGACCACAGGCTTTTAATGAAGTAGCTTGTTAGTGTATCTGTGTAATTGCACACCTATATAGTGATCTTGGGAGGAGGGTGGAACTCATAAAGTAGCCAGTGAGTAGAAGCACTAATGAAGTCAATGTGTGCGGGCATATACACCCACATACAGCATACACTGAATCTAATATACTGCACTAAATGATAGAATACAAAGCCTTTCAGTTTTACAAAGTTCCACAGTACAGAGCTGAGCATACATTAAATCTGCAAAGCATTTAAAAGCCCTAAGCAGAAGAATCATAAATTGTTTACAAGATGCACCACAATACCAGTAACTCAGCTAAGGAGTTCTGAAGTTTGGTGCCTCAGGCTGAAGAGAATGATAGAAGGTTCTTCAGCTGCCACTGTGGCCTAGCAGCAGATCTGAGCACGAACATTTCATAAAGACGGCTCTGTCCCACTGCAGCCCCTGATCCGAATCAAAGCCATGTTCCAATTACATTTCATTACTCAGATCCTAATGACACACCATGATCATTTATTGATTTAAAGTCAGCTCGCAATTGTTCCCACACAGCAGGGCGGTGTGGTTTTGTGCTCACAAAAAGGAAAGGTTCCGAGACAAGCCTGACACTATATAACTTCACCCGAAAAAAGGCCCCAGCTTTATTATTTACACAGCATAATTAAGAATTGATGTTACACAAAATGACTGGGAATTCACAATGAGACTGCAATCGGGGAAAGGAAGAGACTGTAGAAGGGAAAAGGATTGAGGTTACAGTGGTGACACAGAACAAGTCCCAGCTTTCAAGGATTCTTCCTATTTTAAATGGAATTCCATTTGTTCAGGTGTATTAGTAGCACAGCAGGTTAGAGCTCCAGAGCATGATGAAGCTGAAGGCCTCCTGCTTCCATTCCGGGCAGGGCAATAAAGCACCTGTCTTCCTACTCAGCATGGTGGCCCTGAAAGAAGAACTGTGAGAGATCACTGGCTCCACTGTGCATAAACAAAGCATAAAAGATGTACATTAGATCAATCATAAAACCCAGGTCTGTTATCATAAGGTTTTCAATTTATTAACACTTGCAGTCAACGTGAATCGGAATTCATAACGGATTTTTCTTACATAATTTGACGTATTGCCAAATGAAACGTGGTATTAGGGTCTATGAGCTAGCTGAGCATTTTGCCTGATGATAGGTGGGGGTGGTTGAAACGGAGGTGAAAAATGATATTATTTGTTAGTATTCTTTTGTAGCGTGTTCAAGGTATACATTTTCTCAGCCTGCTGTTGCATGGTGGTGCAGTCAAAACTCAGATACTTTCAAGATGGGCACTTATACAACCAGGGACATGGACAAACAAGGTAACAAAGGTCAATTTTGATTTTTGGTTGACTTTAAATGCATGGGTGTTCATCAACTATTCCTACATAACTTGAGGTGTTTGTGACCCAGCAATTACAGTACTGTGCAAAAGTTAGAGACCACCCATCATTTATTACATTTCCAGTCAAAACAGCCATTAAAACTATTCATTTTTCAGTGCAAGGAAAAAAAGCATGAAACGTGTATTTAACAGAAAATTACACAGAACCCTGAATAAATAAGTGTTTTTTTTCAGTATTTAGTGTGACCATTCTTTGCCTTTATAACAGCTTCCATTCTTTTCAAGAGACTTGCTTTCAGTTTTTAAAAGAAGAGACATTTTTTACATCTTCAAAGTTCAGTCTTAGAAGTTGGTTGCATTCTTTGCTTCGCATAATCCAAGTAATCGAAAACACATTCAATAATGTTGAGGTCTGGACTGAGGTGGTCAGTCCAATATTCAGAGAACACCAGCAGCGACTTTCCTAGATATACAAATTCTTCTGTTTTGGTCTGATTCCTTTTCTCAGTAACGGCTTCCTGACAGCTACATATCTTTTTGAACCCGTGGCACTAAGTCGTTTTCTCACAGTGGAAGGATGGACAGAAACAGCTTTGGAATAGTTCAGATCTGAAGCAAGAGTGGAGCTTGATTTTCTCTCATCTCTAAAAGATGAAAGCCTTACGCAAGTTTCCATTTGATGGGGACAGTTTTGGTGGTCTTACTGGTCTTAGTTGCAAGGAGTTCGCACTTGTTTTTGTACTTATTTTCCTTAGACTTTTGCCTTACTTATGCTTATCTTTTCAGAAGTATCTCCTGAAAACAGAATAATTTGTACTTAATAGAAATTAAGTAAATGAAGGGTGGTTCCTGACTTTTATCGCATTCTTTTCATTGTTCTGTACTGTATTACAAACTGATCTACAACCTGCCAAACATTTACACACACACACACACATATATATATTATATACACACACACACACACATCGCTTGGACATTGCTTACTTGGACAAAAAGCCACATCTATAGCATATAAACATGTACATGTAATTTTGATAAGTTCATCTCTACCGTGTAGCATACATTTGATCACTGAAGCACATGGACATTGACGTCCATTATAAATGGTTTTGAATCAACAGGTCTTGTGTTCTTTTGTAAGCTCAAGAAAGATACTGTCCAGGGAATCAATTGACTGCTACCTATTTAGCAAACAGAAATTTGGTTGAAAACTATAAGAGCATTGCTTTAAAGTTTAAATGGCTATAAATGTTTTCAGTGAAGTTTCTCTGCTGTGGTGTTGCTCGGCTATTTGAGTTCTATGTGTATAGTCCCACTGCTGTGTGCAGACTTTTTTGACACACTGAGGACAGATCAGCTGGCCAAAATCTATGTGCTGAGGCCTGGAAGACGATGGCATATCACCCTGAAACGGCAACTGTTCAACAGAGCCGTGGTGGCTCTCACTGAGGGGTCTTTGTAGTTTCAATCTATTACCTCCACCATTAGGGTCCATTTGGTTCCCGGTACTGCAGCGGGAGTGCGCTCATACTTCATGCTGTTTGTTCATAATGGACGTATCTGATCTGCAGAGAGCCTGAAAGTTCCAAGCTAGCCTTAAATGAAAGAAAAAGCAAAGTTAAAGTGGTGGGAAGTACAGTAACGGCTTTATTAAATTAGTGCAAAAGACAGACATAACTCATTCGTAACGTCATTGTTTTCTTTGCTTTACCAGGACTTATGGGGTCTTCCACACAAACCCACACACACATATTGTTATTTTTTTTTTTCTCTCTCTTTTTTTTTCCTCTTCTCACAAGCTTAAAAGACGAACCACCAAACCGACAGCCTTCCTTGGCCTCTCTGCGGGGGTCGAGGGGAGGGCGGGACTAAATGTCATACCAACAGATCCATGAAAACACAGTTCAGACAGATTGCCAGTTTGCAAATTAGTTTAAGACTCCAGATTCAACCACACATTCTCGAAAAAAACTGGAGCTAGTACATGAAAAAGAGGAAATACATCAATAGCATTAGAAATAGTGCCTAAAATTCGCAAAAAGATTCAGTTTTCTGTCTTTTATTCGTGAGGGGTAATTGAAGAGTCTGCAGTCAAATTACATAAGTTAATTAATACATTTTGTACAATGGTAAAAAATAAAATATATATTGTGTACTTTTTGTCCCCCACTGGTTTCACACCATTACTAGAAAGATATATTCCACTCCATAACAACTAATGCAATTTAAAAACCGAAAACAGAAAATAAAGACTCCAGAGATTTGACTTTAAACTTTGAAGGCTTTTGGCTACCACCTTGCCCTAAGAAACCACAGTCACTGCAGACTAAACAGGCCTTTACATCCTCTCCATACATTAGTAAACAAAGTTGTACAGTAGTCTTTAACCAGAGACAAATAAAATACATCATAAAGTCCAGTTGCTTCTCCCCCATCCGCTACGTCCTTATTATCCAGTGAGAGTTCATTGAGGTGGTGGCCATGACAGTGTCCAGAGGTATGATGAGAGTGATGGGGTAAGGGAGGAGAGGAGTGAGGTGGAGAGAAAGGGAGATCAGGGAATGGTGCTGGGAGGGAGGTGGGGAGAGAGAAATATAGAGCTAAAGTGTAGGCTTCGGGGGAGGGTGTGACTGGGGGAGTCTTTTGAAACGTGTGTGAGAGGTCCTCTCCTGTTGCCTCGGCCTTGGTTTGATGGGGGCACAGACTGGTAGATATTCTTCAGCTTTTGCGAGAGGACCACAGAAAGGTTCAGCAGAAATTTACAGGCCTGAGAGAAAGAGAGAGAGAGAAAGAGAGAGAGAGAAAGAGAGAGAGAGAGAGAGGCTGTGAAAGTGGGCAAGGCCAGAATGGACAGTGAAGACTTAGAGCAGTATTATCACAAGTTACCACAAGTGTATCACAGATGAAATGCAATCAAAGTAACATCAGCTCAAATAACATAATTACAGTCCTAGGAAGTGAAGTGTAAAATATTTTGTATGATACTAAACTGAGTGTTACATTAAACAAGATTTAAAAAGTACAAGATTTAAAAAAAAATGGCTGCCACAAATGATAAAGGAGCCTAAGTTAATGTGATGACAGTCTTTGCAAGAATATTCTAATTTGGATGGATGGATTCTCAAATACCTTTATTCTAATAATTTAATTTAAAATGTCTACAAATTCAAGTAATGCAATATCATTTTTATTAATTTCAAAAGGATATTATTGATAAAATGAAAAAAAAAACAAGGAATAGATGTCATAACACTGCCTAACAACAATCTAAATTTGCTGATTAGAAGTGTCAGGGCTCGGCCTAATATTCGAATGAGCACTCTTGATTGACATTCCTCTGTTTAGTACTCTCACCCACTCTATGCTACTCAGGCTGAAGAATATAGTGGAAAAACCAGGGATTAATCAAGCCTACATGTATGAACTTACTGATGCTGATTTTACGAAACAGACAGGAGTTCAGCGACCACATAGTCTTTGCTTATTATTCTGTAGTTGTTTCTGTAGTTGTGTTCACTTATTATAGGGGGACCATATTTTGGTTTTCAAAAAAGAGGACACTGGGGGCAGGAGGGCTGCACAGGGAAGAGTGTAGAAAGCAATTGTCAAGATGAAAGCAAAGCCAAATCCAGCACATTTTGGGCAATTTAGAAATCCCAGCCAGGGTCCCAAAAAGAGGACATGTCCTGAAAAAAGAGGACGTGTGATCACCCTGACTTACTAGGTTGTTCAGGCTCAAAAAGAGTGACACCATTCAAGCAGGAATGCATCATTTTAATAAAGCCATGTAGGTGGAACAAGTGACATTATGAACTGAGAGACTAAAGCTTATGTGAGCTTTACCAAAGATAAGGACTGGCCAATTTACACTGAAAGGTTAGGAATTCTGGTGAAGGATATGTAGACAAGAGATTGGAATGATATTCACCAGGATATCATGTGCCATCAACACCAATATTAACTTAAGTAGCAAGTACTTACGTATTAAGGTTACTTTAGGTTACTCAGGCCTTTAAATCTCAAAGGAAATATTTTTCAAACAACTGATGCTAACACTTTACACAACCTCAGACAGCTACAACACCTGCCTTCAGCATGTCATGGCCAGGAACACGTTCAGCTTGATGTATGCATTATGACTTGTATGTTATATGTGAAAATGTGCCATATTCCTGCAGATTAGTTGGTATTTTTATCTTACCACATATGGCATGCGTGGAAGTGATGGTAACTAATTAGGCATGGACAGTGCTGAAAAGCATCAAACAGAAGCACTGTGTATAACAAAAGCATATCTACAACAAGTAGCAGCCACATGTGTAAAGTCTTCTTTACATTTCCTGGAGGAGAGGTGTGGTGAAAGCCACAGACCCAGATAGGTTTCAGACTGCCAGCCTGTGTCATTTAGCTTTTTCACATATTGTTAAACCCTGCTGTTGTTGAAAAGGGAAAGTTCCACCTGGGTTCCATTTCAGTTCCCTTCATTACTGAAATAATGTTAAAACAAAGCAAAACTGAGGCACTGGACACTGGATAAAAAAACCAACCACTAAGGTATGAAGGTAATATTGAGCTTCACTTTCTCGGGTGTCTCCCAGCATCTCCATTACTTCTCTCTCTCTTCCTGTGCTGCTCTGTCCTGTTCTTCCTTTTCTCCTGGGCTGCATCCACAAAATGAGATTAAGGACCACTTTTGAAAAATGCAAGCAGTAATTTTGCGAGACGTTCAGAAATGAATTGGCCTGTAGGCCTGAGAAACTCCAGACCGATCGAAGCGTGCCAGATCCGATGGGGGGAATATTTAATAGGAAGAACTATTGATTTTTTTCCCCCCCTCTTTTTTTTTTTAGTCTAGCCACTTTTGTATTTTTTTAGGCCCTAAGTGAATCTGAAAGGGAAATAAAAATTGAACAACGCTCAGAAGCACGGCGAAAATCTCCTCTGTTTCAGAAAAAAACGCCTTCTGCAAATGTAATGAGACTCCGGCAGCCTCTATTCACGCACGGAGCCCCGGTAACATACCAGGTAATTCTTTCTCCTTAGGCAAAAAGAGCGAGCGCCCAAACAAGAAAATACATAAGCAAATCAATTCACCTCGCTTCTGCAAGATGCAATGAAGTCGGGCGAGAAACGGATAAGAAATCCCACCCTCCCCCCTCCCCCTTCCCATGAGGAGAAGAGAGGAGGGAAGTGCAGGTCTGGCATCTGCTGCAGAGGGACGGTCCTGAGACGTGGAGGGAATGAGCGATGGAGGGAGCAGGACGAAAGAGTGTTTGATCTAATTAGCGTCATCCTGATTGGGCGAAAGTGGTTGTGGCAGCAGTCGGCTGGAGTTGGAGCAAACACGATAACACACATATGACCCCCGTGCTCTGACACGACAGGCTGGTGGCTCAACACATAATGGCCCTCCCTTCGGGTTTCGTCTCTTGCAAAGCAAGAAAAGTAACAGCATACGGCTGTCAACTTTCAAGACCTCCGCTAAGTCTCATTTTTACAAACTTTAACACTTAACCAGCTCATCCTCTGAATATACCCAGCTTCTTTGCCCCTGAGCCACAATTAAAGCTGCAATGACTCCCCTTCTGTACACAGCAAACGTCTTGTTTTCCATTCTTCTGCTGAACAGCGAAAACCTTTCAAGTCATCAAAGCAGATTATCGTCTCATGCATACGATGCACAACACTTGCAGAAGCCTGACAGCAAAAAACACTATAATTCCGTCCAGTTTCAATCTGAAATTAATTAAGCAAAAAGGGTGACAGTTTATCAGCAAGGTGCACAGCGCATGTCACATCAGAACAAAGGATTAAAAAAAGAAAAAGAAAATTAGACACTGCTGAACGGTTGGTCTCATGGATTTTTTCCCCCTCCTCCATCCTAGATAGGCTTCCTCTGTAGCCCGAGTGGATTAAAAGCGTAAAAGTGGTCGGCTCGGCAGAAAAGGGGATTTAAACTTCAGTGGAGGGCCGGTGGCTGAGTGGTGTGATGGACGGAGCTTGGGCTTATTTCCCTGTTTGTGGATTAATTACATTTTCCCCCTCCAAGAATCCTTTATCAGATTAAACTGCAGCTTTAGGAGTCTGCTCAGTCCATCGGCCGCTGCTGGCTCCTACTCTCCACAAACCACAAACCAGTTCTCTGTTACACTCAGCTCTCAATCTACAGGAACTGAGATGCCCTGGTTGAAAGCTACTCTTTTAAAAAGTAAGGGCGCCAGTCCACCCTTCATTTATTTACTGTACAATCAAAACAGACATTTAGTAAAAATTATTAATTTTTTTTAGGAAATACTTCTTAAGAGATTAGATATAAGGTAATCCACTTGCAGAAGACGAGTGAAAATAAGTGATAAACCAGGAGAATCTAAAATTGGAGATCAAAAAAGATCTAGAGAAATGGGACTCTTAACAACTATGCAAGACCTTGCAGACCACCAAAACGGTCACCATCAGATACACAGCACTTAAAGCTTTCATCTTTGAGAGAAAATTAAGCTCCACTTTTGCTCCAGATCTCAGATGTTTCTGTCCATCCTTCCACTGTGAGAGGACACTCAACACTATGAGTCTGAAAGGATGTGTAGCTGTCAAAAAGCTGATACTAAAAAAAAGGAAACAGACAAGAAAAAAAAACGGCAAATCTAACAAAGAAGTTGTTGGTGTTCTCAGAAACATGGACTGACCCCCCCAGAGTCCAGACGTCAAAATCACTGAATGTGTTTGTGATTGCACTGTAACATGCTGAGGTTAATTAAACAAGCTGGGTAACTGGTTACCTCACTTTTACCAGAACATTAGCAAATTAACTTTAGGCAAAAAATTATTCTTTTGAAAATGTAAGTTATTTAAGTAATTTTAATATAAGTAAACTTGCTTACAACATTATAGTAAAGTATACTGTGGCAATGTACAGTGTACTTCTAATGCTAAACTTTGGAGGTGTGGAAAAATGCAGATATCTTTGAAAAACTGAAACCAAGCCTCCAGAAAACTACCAATTCTTTTTCACATGTAATATTACTTGTTGAATGTAATGTGTAATTATCTGTTAAATAGTCAGAGACGATTCATTTTTTAATTAATGTCCAGTCAAAATGACCATTAAATATAGGTTATTCATTTTTCAGCATCAAAAAACAAAACAAAACAGATTTTAAATATTTTATATATTTAATTGCTGAGGCTTCTAAGTAATTTTCTGTTACATGTTTTTTTGGTTTGTTTTTTCGTTCTGACTGGCAATTAACTAAATAAAATTTCACCTTTGACTTTTCAATCGATGGTTCTTTAAAGAAGCATGTTTGAAAACGCTATCTGTGATTTAAATAACCTTTTTAAAGTTTAAAGAACATACATTCAAGCAGAGAATCGTTTAGAAACTTATATTTTCAAAAGTGTACTGGAGCTATTTTTCTATGAAAACAATCACACAATAAATAAATAAATACTGCAATAAATACTGAAAGACTGTAAAAGCTGAAGCCAGACTGTTTCTGTATTTGAAATGCTTTGTTGCTTTGTTCATGCAGATTTCCTTATTAGCAGAATTCCCTCTTTGTTTGAATTGTTGAAGCAGCTCCAGTGAGGCAACACTTTCCATCTTCATCAACAAATACAATAAACAGCAGCAAGCGCAAAAGGACTTTACTGTAGTCTCCAATCTCCAACAGACAGATGTGCTTTGCTTCCGCTTGGGGTTATTTGTTCATTTATGTATTTACTTTCTGCCCATACCTTAACACCTGTAGCCACAATTCTATATGG